AATGACATTATTTACTGTCTTTACATTTATTTTGAAAGATGAAGCTCGCGATTATGGTACATTTCCGACGAGTGCTTGCGGTGTTCGGCCAATCACAATGCACTGGGTCAGCTGGCCAATCAGAGCAGACTGCGCTTGTCGGAAGGAGGGAATTTGTAGAAAACTAAGCATTTGAGAGAGGCGGGGCATAGAGGACCTACAATAATGTACAGTATTTGAAAAATAATGTGTTTTTTGAACATTAAAGCATGTCAACATATTCTGTTACACCAAATACACAAAATAATGATCTTTAAAAAAGCATCATATGACCCCTTTAAGAAAATTAAAGAATAATGGAATAATTAATGTTCTAGTTACCCATATGGAGGTACCTTATCATTGCCCCTTTACCTATAAAAAAAGTGACTTAATAACAGTATACATGACAGAATGAAGTCACAGGCAGCAGATTAGTTGGGTCCTAATTACTGTTTTATGGAAGGTTCACACTCTTCCACATCATAAATGCACAACTCCTCATACTTTATTTTAACTAAGTATGTTTTAACCGAGAACACCATATTCCCTGAATTCATCCGCCTTAAGAGTTTACATTCAAACCCTGCATCGAATCATTTCACACAGCAACTTTTGTGTTTGAGGCAGAGCCTTAAGCTTGGGGATTATGAAAGTTTCACACTCCTCTTTTTCCAAGCAGTGAGCCTCACTGCCGCTCGGGGAAATGTTTGTACTCAACAGAATGTTAGTACCCATGAGTCTAGTCAAACTTTTAAAGATTTGCTCTGCTGCTCTTGCTTTACTGTTTTCCTACTTTTATCAGAGTAACTGGCAACTCTCTCTCTTTCCCAGCTCTTGTCCCTAGAACTTAATTATGGCTCTCCTCAATGTCCCTCTTTTTCCTCAGTCTGCCTCCCTGTAGCTGTGTAACCCTTCCTGTTCCTTTTCTCCATCCTCAGGCTTCAACTCTAGAGAAAGACAAGCAGGGCATCCTCACACGCATCATAGAAAGCACTGTCAGCCTGGGAAAACTTCAAGAAAAAGTAAAGGTGAGGCCTGCAGTTCACAAACTGCCAGGAAGTGAGTTGAAAGGCTTTGCTTCCTTACCATGAGCTTCAGATTGTAGATTCTAGAAAAATGAAGAAAGTAGTGGTTCTTAACCACAGGGCCAGGGCACACTAAGGGGGGTCTCAGGAAACCTCCAAAGAGGCCTCAAGATGACTTAAAGTTATATCAAATAAGACAAAATAAGTATTAAAATAAGGCAAAACAACTAAATATGAAGACAACAACTCTTTTTAGTTTTTGAAGAATAAGGGATAAAACAGTTTTAAAACACCTAGATATAGTATACTTTTGGGCAGATAAAAGTAAAATGTAAAATCAGTCAAATTAAAGTAAAATTTAACTCAGTATCTGTACTTTGACTTGATTTTGATTTGAATTCATGTAAATAAAAATAAAATCTTTACCCTAATCCTAACTTCATGAGCATTTGTGTAATAAATGTACATTTACCTATAGTTCTACCAAGCTCTAAAATATTTTATTGGTTAGAAATTGTAAGTAAAAATATATATTTTTAAATCCTTATCCAGTAACAACTTGTGAAGTCATGGGGCCTTTGAATATTGTTGTGTATAGTGGGGCTTTTGGAGTCAAAATGGGTAAGAATCACTGAATGATAAGATTCACAAACAAAGACACACATATAGTACGCTCACAGGTTACACTTCATTTTAAGGTGACACAAAAAAGTACTGCGTAGTGTAAATTAACCACACATGCTGTAGGGTTAAGGTTGGGGTTTGGTTTAGGTTTAGCTGCTTGTAATTATAGTATGCACCATTGGCTCTTATTTCTATAGTATATGTAATTTGTACTGTAACTACGTCACCTCAAAATAAAGTATTACCCACTCACACAGCAACTTTGAGGTATGTTTGTATGAAGAGCATGCTGAAGGGCAGGAGTTAGTTTTTAGCATTTATTGTTTTGCTTTAACATGCTTATGAATAATTCAACAAGGAGACAGAGCGAGTCTAAGACCCACACACACACACACACAGAGAATGTTGACATGCACACATACACACAGCCTACTTAAATGACCTTGCCCGTCTGACATATCCAATAAGAAGTCAATCCAGACACACAAGCCCCTCACACTCAGCAGGTCTATAATTAACATTTCAAATGACGGGTTATTTCAGTTGCAGAGTGAATGTTTCCCTCTCTCGTTTAACTGCGCTTCAGTTCAGATGCTGCCTGTGTCCATGTGGATTGACCTCTGTGTGATTAGACGGAACTGAATGAAAGTGTCAGTCTATATTTGTGATATTTCCCTTGAGTGAAATCCGCTACCTGTTTATTTCTACTGCAATGGACAAAACAGTCCAAAGTAATTTTTTAAGCCAAGGGTGAGTTTTATGCCATAGACATACAGATAGTACCTATAATGACTGAGTTATATGGAGGCCCAGAGGTAATCAACATTTTATCAGCACTTTGTTTTGCAAATTTAGTGAAATTAGACACTGTAAAATATGAGCTATACTGGTAGTAGGCAGAATAAGCAGACTAGCCAAAATGTGTAGTAAATAATCAAACAATGGTCAAGAGGATGTCCTTATAACTTTGTGAATAACAGGCATAAATCTATGAAGTTTTCTTTTTGAAGTTCTGCTTATGCTGGTTCTGTCTGGGTGTGGCCATACAGTATGTTATGGAGGGAAGAATTTAGTGCCACACTAAAGCTGTTTATGTATGCCGTTGATTTATGAGACTGCTTATGAATATTCTGTAAAGCGTTTTTCACTGGCAGCAAGTGGCGCGGCACAACTAGATTGTTCCCATTGTAATGAACAAAGCTCTTTACACTAAGCATGCTATGTTGTGTTGTTGATTACAATGGGATTGCTATAGTTTGTTGTGTCATGGTGCACTGCTTGTTTACAATGTAGACCCAGTGTAACTCTAGCAGTTCAGAAGGAAACAGTGTGTGTGAGACCTTTGCATTCTAAACCAGAAAATAAATATATTTTTCTTTCTTTATTTAATTTGAATTTTTTTTTATCTTACTTCTGCAAATTAATGCCTGTCTGTTGGTGCTGTGATTGTTTGTGGACTGTTTTATTAGTTTTAAAGTCACTGTGCAGACCACTGAGCTGTGATATTGCATGGATTAGTTTATTTTCTGTACCACCGGCTGGTCTCATCACAGACGAACAGATTGACAGTCCTTATATCTGTCCTGATGTGCTCTCTTTTTCCCTCTTATTTTCATATTTTCAATTTGTCCTGGTCTCTTTTCTTCAGATGTGTCTTCAGCTAAAGATTTAGCACATACTTACACCAATATTCACTTCTCTTCCATTTTCTCTTGATTACCACCTGCTTTTACCAATTGTGTTTTGTGAAGAAAAAGAAAAAAGAGTTTTAAAACTCTCTGATGTATTAATCAGGGGTTACATGTATTTGGATTTAAGTGTGAGTGCTGTGAGTTTGAGTCTCTAATATGTATTATATTATAAATGTTGTATTTTAAATGATATTATCCTCAATGCAGTATTTGCACGGATTAATTTACATTTTCTCTGCTCACCTTCCTCTTTTAGCAAGTCGTATGTGTGAGAGGAGTGTGTTGTGAACGTCCTTTAGTCTCTCATGCATTAGGGTATGACACTGTATTTTAATGAGAAAATGTATGGAATATCAAAGGCTTTTTCTCACATGGTGTATGCGCGTTTTACATACTTAACATTGGTTAAGAAAAGTCTTTGCATTAGGGATGCACGATATTATCGGAACGATATCGGAATCAGCCGATAATGTCTTAAAATGTAAAGAAAAATAAGATGAATAGCTCAAATGTGCTCAGGGTGTGCTAGCGATAAGATCACATCAGCAGTGTGGTCATTCTTGAAACAAACTTTTGCCTGGTTATTAGATTCATTGTTTTAGATCGCTGCATTTAATTTGAGAATACAAGTACAGAATGATGCATCCTTTGTGCTATAAGTGTCAGCAGTCACTAGCGCTTGAAGAAACCGCAGCAACAGCCTCCCCTGGTGTCCTAATGTCTGTCCGGTAAGGAGTTTTAATTCCTTAGGGGGCACTGTTGGCCTAATTGTAATAAAATGAAAGTGAAATACACAAATAACATGAAGATTGCATTTCTGATTAAGTAAAGCAGTGTAACGAATCAGCTCATGACAGGAAATAGGAATAATTAACCATAACTAGTTATAATTAACTATTCATATTTTAGATCCGCTATTTCTGCTCTGCCTCTCCTATGGGGACAAAGAGTGGGTTATCCTACTCACATTCCTGGGGGGGTCATAAAACCAGTGATATCATGATTAGTTGTCATGGTGACCAAGGGGGCCTGGTGTTCAGCAGAAATCCTGGCATCCAGTTTATTGAGTGAGGGGACTGTGACGATTTGTTAATCTAATGAATAATTGATTTGTTAAATAAAAAAAAATTAGTGTGTCAGATTGGTCAAGACGCTACAGCAGTAATCAGTGTCATAAAATCACGAGTATGCTTTGATTTAAAGGTCTGAAGCTATAGCTTACATAAATAAAAATCACACACATGACACTTGTAAATTAAAGGGGACATAACACACACAGTTTCGCTCAATGTCATGTTAATCTTGAATACTTATAGAGTAGTATTGCATCCTTCATATTTCCAAGGAGTTTTGTCATATTTATAAACAAACGATACAGCTTTACAATTCCCTCTGAAAACAGCAAGCTCCTGGAGGCGTGCCGTGGGCGGAGCTAAAGAGTCACGAGCACTTGTGCACCGACTGCTAACAAAACACAGTCTGCTGCCGATGACGTTGATAGGCATGCTCTCGCTCTCGCTCTCGCTCTGGTTTACGTGTGTGTGCGCTCTTCTGGGAGAAGTGCCCATACAAGGAACTACGCCATTCATGATGTCATGAAGGGCCATGTTTGATAAAAACTTTCCGAAACATACAAAACCCAGAAGGAGTGTGTTTGGCACAGAAACTCTGTCATGCGTCCAAATCAAACCAAGCCAAACCAATTTGTTTTCAAACGGATTATGAAATTTAAATACAATGAGCTCTAAAAGATTTTCAGAATTTTTACAACTCTTTTGCTCTCGACCATCTACCAATCTTAAATCTTCAAATAAAAGGTAACCACTGCATTTGTCTGGAAAAAAATGCAGTGATTGATTTATAGTTATTTTCAGCTTTCAGTGTGCTCTCATTATAAAAGAACTTCATTAATTGTTTATTTAATTCGAATAAGTAAACATAATTTGTTTATAATCTCTGCACAGGAGAGACTTGGTGCTGTTTAGAAACAAACAGAAATATAGTTTGTATCGGCATTGGCTATCGGCCAAAATAAGTTGAAAAATACAGACATATCGCATATCGGCAAAAATACAATATCGTGCATCCCTTTGTGGTTACTGACATAGTTGTTTTGGACCTTGTTTCAAATATGTGTAACACAAAAAGAGGGTTTATAAGCTTCAAAAAGCACCAGAAATATCTTAAAAGTAGTCCATATGTCTAATGCTAATGCAGTAGCTACTTGAGGGAAGTAGTGAATCATTCTTTTTAGTCAAGTCTTTTCAGTGAATCATGTAATCTTGTTCTTAGAACTGTTCTGAAGGATTCATTCACAAATCCTGTGGTTCTTGAGTTCAGCTCAATGATCTGCTCACAGCAGTTATCAGACCACTAGAGGGTGAGATTATCAGTGAATAACAAGATAAATTTTAATCGGTTTCCCTTATGGCTTCAGAAGACTTGCGCATGAGTCATGGACTGCTTTTATGATAGAATTGTAATTTTTGGGTGAATTATCCCTCTAATAATTCAGTGTGTGTTTTTAGGACCCCATGATTCTCTGTCGCACTTCCTGCTTTCTTTCTTTTTTTTCTTCTTTATTTCCTCAGTCACATTTTCTGTCCCTTTTTTCCCACCTTTTTTTCTATTCCCCCTGTTGTGTTCTCTCCCTACTTTCCTCCACCCTCCACCTCCTCTCTTTTTCTCTCTATCTCTCCTCCACTCTCTCTGTATGTCTCTCTCTCTTCATCCGTCTCCTGGTGGCTAATTAGAAAGAACAGATGCTAGACTCACGCAGAGTAAATACATGCACAAAATCACTAATCACTACCTCACAGAGAAGCACGGTGGTAAAAGAAAGTGAGATCAAGCACGTAGAACACAAAACTTTAAAAAAAATCACAGTTTATACCAGACA